TGGGTCTGATTTTGTGTGTGTGTATCTTGTTCGTTCTGTTGTTCTGCTGTGTAATCAGGTGTGGATGATTTTGATCTGTTGCTCTGATATCCACCCTCCATTCCACCCTGAGATGTTCCCTCTCTGTTAATATTGTTCATATGTCAATATTGCCCCTTTTCTTATTTTTCCTGTCATGTTCTTTCTTATTATCTGTATTATTTACAAAACAGGGTTGAATCAGGTGTGTAATTAGTGGTTTTCAGTCTGGCTTACATAGTTATCTGATCCTGTTTGTCAACTCTCTGTTCTTGCTTTGCAAATTCTGGTTACATTTGATTTATATTTGTATGTTTCCTTCTGGCAGATGAGGAAGAGGAGGAGCCGGTTCCTGCAGATATGGGCACTTCTGCCGAGGCCATGCAGGTCTCCCTGGGTGAGGAAGAGGACGTTGAGGAAGAGGAGAATGATGAGAACTGGCTTAATCGTCATAGCGAAGAGAGTCCCAGGCCTGAGGGTCTATTACCCGCCGCCAAGAGACCCCACCTGAGCAGCAAACCAGGCGTTAGCCCCGAATGGAGTTATGAGCCACGGGAACCTCTCAGTTCCCTCAACTCCCAACACATGCCGCATTCCCCCTCCCCTCCCCTCTCCCCCGAATTACCCCGACCTCCTTTGGCACCTCCTACACCTGGACACAAGCCAAAATTGCCCTCACCCTCTCCTGCACGACAGAAGAACAAGTCACCCAAAAGAGGTGCTGGTTCTGCACCCACTGGTGTAATGGGGCGCCCACTTATGTTGACCCCACCCAAGACCAATCAGAAGGCAGGAAAGAGGTCACCCAGTAGGCCCAAAAGCCCCCGCAGCCCAAAGCCAAGCCTTGCCCTTTTGGGTACAACTGGACGTGGCTGGGCTGGACCTCCTGCAGATAATAGCTCTCATGATGACCAGTTCAGAGCTCATGATGCAGGAGATGAGGATATTGAGAACTCTATTGCTGCTGTGATTGCACGGGCTTGTGCAGATGGAGATGGATCAGACCCATTTGCTTATGACTCGGACTCAGACAGTGAGGGGCCAAACCCTCCAAAACCTGCACCCAAACATATGCTAAGCCACATCAAACCTCCACAAGCTCTCACCGGAAAACACTCACTTCCACCAGTTCCCCCAAATCTCAACCCACCTAATCGCTGGACGATGGATGACTCTATAGACGAGGTCATCCGAAAGGCCAATCAGGGTCAAAAGCCAATTCAGGCCCCAAGTCTTTCACCTCCAGAACCCACTTACCTGTCGTCCCCACCTGACTCGCCTCCCACACTGCTGCCACCTCTAAAACCTCCCCAGGAACGGAAAGACCCTGTTACCGCTACCCTTCTAAAGAAAAAACTCAAGAAGAACATCAGGGTCAAGTTGAAGAAGAAAGACAAGGAGAGATTCAAGGAGAAGGGCAAAGAGAAAGGAAAGAACAAGGAGAAGAAGCGGGAAAAGGAGCGAGGGCAGGTAGAGGAGAACAACATGCCCTGGCTGGAGCTATTGCTAGGAGGTGAAGAGCGGAGAGACGGCATTAGCGGGAAGAAAGAGAAGGACAAGCACAAAGACAAGAAGAAAGATAAAGAGAAAAGCAAGAAAGAGAAAGAGAAACGAGACAAGGGCAAGGAGCGAGGCAAGGAAGAGAAGAAGATATCTCAAGGAACCAAAGACATCGCCACTGCCGTTGGCGCCACCAGCCCACTCTTCAGCCCCCAGACCTGCCTACGAGTCCCATCAATGTTGCCCCCTTTGCCACCAATACTCCCTGATAAATTATTCCCACACCCCAAGGATACCAAGAGCAAAGACAAGGACAAGAAGAAGGACAAGAAAGAGAAGAAGAAGAAAAAAGAGAAGGAGAAAGACAGAGAGAAGGAGCGTGAAAAGGAACGGGCAAGGGAGAAGGAGCGAGATAAAGAGGAGAAGAAGAAGGACAAAGAGAAGAAAGAAAAGACTAAGGAAAAGGAGAAAAACAAGCCAAAACTTGAGAAATCAAGTTTATTGGTAAGACGCCCTATAGCACTTTCGAAGTCCCTGGTCTCACGCAGTATTTGGAAAGCTACTTTCACTGCTTACACCAAAAGCTACTCTAAACTAGTTAAAACTAGTTAAAGTCAACATGAAATGATCTTCACAACCATTTTATATCTCTAACCTTATATTTCTGAGTGAAGCACAATATGCAGAGGCAACAAGATGTACATGTACACAGTTTTGAATCGTATGCATATGCAACTGCATGATGTACTCATCATTGAATGCCAACTACATAAGGCCGCATAGGCCATTCATAAAACTTCCACATGAATTCAATATGACTATCAGGTGCAGCATCAATAATGCAATACACAAGAGAGTCACACAGATAGATTTACTAGCTGGCCCCGTTACTAGCTCAGTGTGTGCGTGTGTATCTTTCTGTCTTTGTGTCCTTGTGTGTGTGTGTACCTTTGAGATCAGAGGTAGATCGCTGAGCTACATTTACATTTCCGTCTTTTCCGGTCGATTTGTCCCTGGAATCCTGCTCCTTGCATGGAGCCCCTGTGCACACACACACACACACACACAATAGACTATCAATCTGTGTGCAAATCAAACAAGGGATAATACACCTCAAAGCCTCTGTTTACCCAATTCATACCCCATTTTACAGCGTGTATACGTATGTGTGTCTGCAAAAGAGCTTGAGCGAAAGAGTGTGTTAGTTCTTCTTTATCAAACTCATCCTCCAATCGCTTTTCACCGTCCAATGACAGTGATAATGTATGTACACCACATCAGAGCAGCTTGAATTGATTTCGACTGCTGCGGAATTCCATTTTTCCTGCTTTCTGTCTCTTTTTCTTTCGTTACCTGAATCCCTGACCCCCGCACTCTCTTTTTCTCTCCATCTTTTTCTCCGTCTCCTGCTGCCACTGGGAGATGGGATTGAGAAAATGATTTCTCTCGTTCTCCACCTGCTTAAATCTTTCCATCACTTTAATTTTTTGCAAGGCTGCTTTGCTGCCATCCAGGAAAAGAGACAAGAGAGAGAGAAAGAGAGAGGGAGAGAGAGCTAAGGGGGTGGGGAGCCGGGGGGGTTATCAGTCGTTGGCCTGAGGTATGTGTGCAAGGGACTTAAATCCGTAGAGATTAGCAGAAAAATGCCGTCGGTAGCAGTAAGGGGCTTTACGCCACTGGTTGTATTAGTTCAGGTGAAAAGAGTATTGCGTTTACATAAAACCGGACAAATCCAGCCACAATGCCAATGCTGTGGGACCACAATGCAATCTGCTATCTCTGGACCTTAACCACAACATCCAGTGCTGTTTCTTGAGAACTGCCTCGGAACTACTGCTACCAAACACTGAATTACAGAAATTGAGAGAGAACGATGGTGGGAGAGAGAGAAGAGATGGGGGCAAAAGTGGGAACAAACGATACAGTGTACAGACCGATGGAAAGAAGAGAAAGAGATTATGCCATTTTTTTCTCACAATGGGTCTTTAGTCTTTAAGTAAGTCTTTAGTTGCTTGCTTGAAAACAAGTGGCAAATGGTTGAAGTCAAAATTGGTTTTTGCAGCTATCTTCATGTGTTTCTAATTGAAACATAATATTCAAATAAAAAAACTTTACATTACATAACGTGTACAAAACATATTATCACAATATTTTTTCCCATCGATATTTATCACAATATTCATTCATGTTGAATGAAAACCTTTCCACGTGCTTGTTATACCTTGAGAATGAATGTACACTTAACTTATTTATTCACAATTAAACTCCACAAAGTACCGAACTTTTAATTTAGGGCTCCACAAAATTATTATTTTTCCTTAAATTCTGTGTTTTACATTTATTTTTTTTCTGGATTCCCTATTTTATGATTTAATACAAATTTGTTACCAAAAATGGTGTTTAATGAAATTAATTTAAATATGAATCTCCATATGTTATAGTTTATCACCCATCCTTGTTGTATAGAAAGGTATTGTTGAAATCAGCCAAAAAGTAATATTATTTCAGATGATATATTATTGTTACAGAACAACCAGTTAGTAATTACACTTATTTTTTCAGTCTTGAAAGCCTTACACCATGTCGTTACACCAAACACGAGTGACGTGACGCAAAAAGCAAATAGAAACCATTATAATCAGTGATTTTTGTCTAAACTAGATGCGGCGTGATGAGTCATCAACAGTTGCCCCTATCTGTTTCTGACATACTCCACGTGTTCGCGCTACTTCTGACAACAGGACGAATAGATTTGGATTGTCCAGTGCAGTAGACGGTCTCAAGCTGTTTGCGGAAATCCTATTAGTAATGTTGGGTATTCCGTGATGGTCAAGAAATACTCTGTGCTTCTGCGTGGTACCCTCATCTGTGAATCTTTGAAGACATTCCAGGGATGACATGAATGCCGTAACTACATGAAGTTTTTTCAAAATGTAGAGATCAGGGTCATTAGTATGAATAGTAAAGGTAAAATATGAACATGGGCATTGAATTTACCCCCGTTTATTTTTAGTATTGCATATAAATGCATCCAAAGGGATTTTGTTTCAAGTTCCATCCTACAACCTGAGAAGAGTCTCCTCACACTGGCTAATCTCCACCCTTACTGAACACTGACTCTTTGCTAAACGGCAACAAAAAAGACCTTTGTATCATATTTAATTGTATTGTGCTTTATGGTATTACGCTCTTGTAAAATTTCGAGTTCCGTTTTCACTTTTTCGTTATCGGTTCTTTAGCTCATAGCGCTTTTAAAGAGAGACGCTGGTCTCTAGGTCACGCTAGCTACAGCACTATACATCCATTTAGAAGCTGATTAATCAATTTACGCGATCCCGCAGCCATTTATGTTGGGTGCACGTGCAGTGCGTGT